TTTTTTTTTCAAAAGTACCCATAAAACCTAATTTTTCATCTTTTTTTAAAAAATTATTTTTAATTTAATCTTTCATAAATTTTACTCAATTTTTTTATTAAATTAAAATAAATTAATAAATAATTATATTTATTAATAAAAATAAAAAAAAATTGGCAAAATAGGAAAAATATGTAAACATTAATAGAAATCTTATTATGTAAATTTTCTTGGAGAACTATGAGGATAGAAAAGGAGTACGTACCAGAAAGATTATTACATAACAATTTTTTTCCTCTTTATTCATTTATAACATTTTTTTTTTTGTTTTTGATATGAAAATGCAATGAGAGCTAGAGATTCGTAAGCACGAATGATCTTATCTTTTTTATTTTATAGTTACTTTTTATTATTTATAATTATACTATTTAAATGTGAATTTATTTTTATTCAACATTATCTTTATAAGACTATGGCTAATAATGATGAATGTATATGAAAATTGATTAGTGACCTGGTTATTGTCTTGTACATTTTCCAAGAGGAAGTGATTATAATTCATTGATCATTGTAATCATTTTCTTAAGAACTCGCACACTTTGTGTTGGACCAACGTTTTTATATTTAGAACGTAAACTGAAAATCATTCGGTCACTAATAATATTTGTTGTTTTGGTTTTTTATGTTTAGAATGTTAATTAAAATTTGATTTTTCTAATGAATTTGTTACTATTTTTCTTCTTTCTTAGACTACATTTGTTCCCAAAATAACATTAATGCATTCTGCGGTCAAAATTAAGAAAAAAAAAAAGTCAACTACTTTGTATCAGATTTTTATATACATATATTGTTAAAAACAGAATCAGTTATAATCTGAAAACAAATATATACAGCTTTTCTTTTCCCGTATATTTTGCAGCTTGTAGGGGCAATCTGAAAACCAAGTCCATGCCGCCTTCAAGTCTTTCTTGGTTTAGTGTTCAAAACGTGTTGTATTTTTTATTGCTTACTGGAATCAATAATTGCATATTCAATACGCCTTGTAACTGCTGGTTTCAGTCTCACAGAGACCCAATGATCGAGAGAAATGGAACTTCCTCATTTCAGTCACAAACATCCATTGACTTTCTTTGATGGGCAAAACACACACAGTGATGCCGAAAATACCAAGTGCTCTGGCTGCCTGGGTCCAATACTCGAGGAATCTAGCTATGGTTGCACTCAATGTCACTATTTTCTCCACAAAAAATGTGCGGAGCTACCCCGTGAAATTTTCCATCCTTTCCACCCAGAACACCGTCTTCGTCTTCAACCCCACCAGCAGGGACTTCGTTGTGCTTTGTGCTTCAGCGGTAGGCAGAGCATGATTTATCACTGCTCTCTCTGTCACTACTCCCTTCACATTAAATGTGCTGAAATTTCACCTCCGGCGGTTACT